TTTTATTTTTCAGCAATACATTCTCAATGCCCCAAGCTTTGTTGATCTAAGCGTCTAAGCATCTTTAGTTCCGAGTCACAATTAGTGAGACTGATACGAATAATCGATTTTATCTGCTCAACTGATCAATTTTATGAAAAATATAGAAGTTTGAAAAATATTAGTAAAACGACAAACTATCATTTGTAAATAAAAAAAACTAAACATTGATCTTTTTGTATTTGATTATGACAATAGTTCTGTGCAATCGTGCAATGTGTTCTTGTGTACGTTTTCCTTAGTAAATGAAACATCATTTTTATGTAGATACCACTAAAGCTATGTATAGTACCAGAGGATACTATCCGAGGCTATTCAGAGAGGCCATAGAAATACATAAACATAAGAATAATTTCAACTGTAAGGAAAGGAGTGTTTCCAAGATTCATCTAACTGAAAACATCGTAAGGAAAGGAGCTCAAACATCAACGAAATATGGATACCGCCACTTATAACAAAAATATTCTGGCGATAATTGATGAAGGGTCGGACCAATTAGGTACAAGAGCAGCCGACCGCCCGACACCTAGTCCTACTAAAAATACAAACATACTAGGATCATTTTTAGTTTGCACATTGCAGCAAGGTAGATCATATCGACCGTTTCCGCATCGCCTCTGATAATGCTAGCCACAGTAGCAGATGAAATGTCTGGTATAAAAACTTACAGATCGTGACTGATGAATCTGGAAATATCGGACAACTTGCTACCTATGTAAACTTCTTGGGGTCGATATAAATGCAATAAATTGAAGTTACGTTTCAATTATATCGTTTGCAATATTTTTTCGAAAAAATACAAGTGACCCTTCTCAGATACAGAATGACTGCGATCGGAAAATCCAGTAGTAGTAGTAATCAGAAGTTCGAGCAAGTGTTGGATCTTCTTTTTTAGGTACCGAGAATATTTTCACTCATGGAGTATCAATTTTTTTGACGCTCATTTTCATGGCTTGTTGGAAATATATCTTCAACATTTCAGTCTGAAGATATCAAATATTATGAAGGATGAGAAATAATTCACATATTTTAATTGCTGAATAATTTCTCAGAAATATAAAAATTTTGAAGTTTAATGTGGTTGGATGTGATTTTTAGCTTCAAATACCCCAAACCAGACGTACATAAGAAATACTTATTCTAAGTAGGTACACGCTATTCTTGAATACAATGATATTTTAGAGTTTGAATAGAAATACTTGTATTCATGTTCGGCTAATTTGTGGTGGTGCTTTCACTATTTCAGCTGCTCTCAAAATAATGTCTAGCCATAATATATGCAGAAAGTATATTTTGAATATAAGTCGATTCGTTGAAAAAATATATTACACCTTGGTGTCATGAATGTTATACGTTCCGCAGCTTCTTCTGTAGAAAAACTTGCTTCATTTGCTCCAGTTGACATCAAATAATGCATGTACATTTCAGCTTTTCAACACAACATAGTTTTTTGTTATATAATTATTCAGAAAGTTCAGCTCTGAGTTATGAAGGGCACTACTGCAATTAATTATCTACCAAAAGCTATAATGTCCTGAATAAATTAAGAGTTAACAGTTGAAACTAATATGTGTAAACATAATGGCTTCCCAGATTTTTTTCAAATTAGGTGAGATTTTTAAGATGTTGTTTTGGTGTAGTAATCAAACATTTCAGCAATGAGTTGTTTCCTACCTTTGTTCTTATTGCAACAGTTTTTCAGATTTGTTAGTCGTTATCTATTGTATTGTTTCTCAATATTTCGGTAACGAGTTAATCTAAAAAGGAAAATGTCATTGATTATATTTATTTCAACAACTTTGATCCCTTTGAAGAGGGTTGATAATATACATCTGTCTTTCTCCAATGCAATGATCAAATTATAATAAAATAGTTTAAATAGATTGGTCGAAGATGTCGACACAAACAAAATCATTTTGTCACAAGGAAGTCAGCGAACCTTAATAATTTCACAGTTTGGCTAATTTTTCCAAAATAACTCCTTTTGAATTTGAATAAAAAATTGATGCTCTAGTCAGATCACTTCCATAAGAACGGTGAAACCAGATGTTTCACCCTCAGTTGCGGAAGGCATCGTCAGTGGCATCATAGTAGTCTTGTAACAATCGGAATAAGACAAGTCTTACTTGTGTGATTGACATAGCTGCCATTTTTTTCAAAGCTGCCATTTTTTTCAAAGCTGATAACCTGGATTTTTTCTCTTTTGCAATTCTATTTTATTGAAGAATAACCACAGATTCACAATGGTGTTCGAGACAATCTGGTGGTGAGAAGACGCTGCTACTCAAAAGATGTATTATGTTATATAATTGTATCTTCTAGAAATCATTTTCGCAAGGTAGTTGCAACAACAACTTGAGCAATTGATTACTCTCTGAAGGCTGTATTTCGACATTTGGTGGGGCTAGACAAAATAGCCTCCTATCTTTCCTGATGAATTTCATTAACATCCTTATCCGATATTTTGGGAAATCTCGTGAGTAGAGATCGGACTCCCCCAGAAAGGTGATAATTTCATTTCAGGTATAAGATAAAAATTTCATGAATGAATTTCATGAATCTCATTTGTATTGTTTGCAACTATAAGAAAAATATGATTTTATTGATACTAAATAGGTGGACTACAACTATGTCTGCAGGTGTTACCACCTTCTTACTACACTGCATACTCCTGGATGTAATGGAATAATCAAATATAAGGATCTTCATCATTAACATCGAAGCATTGCCCTTGGGTAGAGGCTGATTACTTTTTTGACGCCTAACTGTAAATGATAGCAGAGTTGGTTGAATAGAGGAAAGTTGTCTACACCAATAACAAATCATACAAAATAAAACAACATTATTCGAATGGTTTCCTCTCGGTTTTCGATTCTTTTTCCAAATAAAATATTTTTTGTATCTTTCCTAAAATTTGGAATATCATTAATACTATTTTTCCGATGCTTACTTGGATTTTTCTTCATCATGTTTGTTAGATTATGATCTTGTGAATACGAATGTGTTTCACAGGTAGATTCAAAAATGTTCATTCTTCTCTTGTTGGTATTTATTGAGTATTTGGTAGGTTAGGTTAGGTCCAAAGTGAGTGGGTCTATTCGACTCTCCACCGCAACCCGCAAGGGTTTATTATGACTCACACCTATTCACACTTGACCAAATAAATCCAACTTCTAAACGAAGCCGATTAGTTTGTATGGTGAGTGGTCTTTCAGGTCAGATGGTAAGAAAACGGCCCTGCCGAACTCTAAAAGCCTGATTCGGTCCCCAGCAGGGCAGGCACAAAGTATATGCTCATCACCAATGAGGTAGTCGGATAGTCAAGGTGCAAGATTTCCACCTTGATACCCATGGCAACTCTCCAATATGAGGGTTTTTTCACGTCAGCTACACCTGACGATGCCTTAGATTCAGCCGTGCAGACTTTTTCGCCTCTGGTTTTGGTGAATCATCACTTGAGCACAAACTTTTGCTAACCTGCTCATGGGGGGTTTGTTCTAACGATTATGGACATACAGGATTGCTTACTTACATATATCGTCACGTTAAACAAGCGCCGAGCAGATGTGACGTAACACTGGTTACACTTTTAGTACCTACCATAAGACTGTGTGTTATTTTAACATTTTTTGAGGATTATTTTCGGACAGTATTGCATTGTTTCTGTACATTTTGATTAAATTTTTATTTAACTGTACCAATTAGGTTTCTGAAACATTGAGTTTGTTATTGTGAAAGTCGTATTTTTTTGTGCTTTTGGACATTTTTTAAACTGGTGTAACGAGTAGACGCCATATAAGACTCTATTATTGTCTTTCGTTTTGAGGTTTGTTTTTCACCATTTTGGAACTTTTTTTTGTTTTTTGAACATTTTTAAATCAAATTAAGGTAAAAAATTGAAAAATTTACATGTTTGTAAGTAATAGCAATAATCGTCTAAACATCAAATAATCTTGTAATTTTTAGTTAAAATGTCTGGGCGTATTTGTGCTGAGTCAACTTGCAAAAGCAATTAGTTGACTTTGAAGAAAAGTGGTGTTACTGATGTAATATTTCACTCTTTTATTTGGTGCAAGGCGGTTTCATAAGGTGAAGGTACCTCGCTCTTGAGAAGACGACTCAGTCGTTTCCTGGCTGCACCACCAAACGTTTTTTTAGGTTCAGTTATTGGATCAGTAGTTGGAGAGTTGAGAAGCTCTCGCTCCTAATCTAAATTTACAGGAAGGTCAGTTAGAGTCGTAAGCTCGACATCCATCTCCTCTGTAGACTCGCTCCTGATCTAAATTTACAGGGAGGTCAGTTGGAGTCGTAAACTCGACATCCATCTCCTCTGTAGACTCGCTCCTGATCTAAATTTACAGGGAGGTCAGTTGGAGTTGTAAGCTCGACATCCATCTCTTCTGTAGGGGGGTAATATAACCAGCAGGGTCCATCGCACAAAGTATTTGGTAACAGAACACACATGAGTATGTTAATTTTCAAAACTCCGTGAATACTAATCTGGGCTGAAACATATATGCAAGAACTTCATCTAGGCTCTTTACTCTATTCCAGAAGAATGCTGGTATATTTCAGATCTTGTTTTACACCGAAACACCCTCTTCAAAATATCACCTGTGTGACAAATATAATTCATGGAATTGAAAAATATATGGGAAAGAAAATCTTTTGTGTTCTACTTCTCCTTCTTCATAAAATCTTTTTCCCTATCGATTTGAAAAATAGATTTTGTTTGTAAAGAAAGTAAAATAATGTATGTCTATTTCTCTATGATTTGATATTGGAAGCAGGTCTTCTGATTTCGAATTTCATTTACCAAACTACTTTTTTCAGTTTGAGGCTTAGTATGTATTAAGTGTTCGCTTTCTTTTTGAACTGTGTATTGAGAAATGAATAATTTTCACATTATGGTCCACAAACAAGCATCGAACTCTAATTTCATCACATTATTTGATTTTCAGTTGCTCCGCTTTCTCCTACCAAAATGGCCCTGTTTCGTAAGGCATCTCTGGAGGAACAACTCAAAACCAAACTAGCCAGTGTTGGTCAGTGGCCATCAAATATTATACATATAACTGAGAATCCTATCTCTGCAGTAGTCTGTTAGAATATGTGCAATTACTGTATTGAAATTTATGTGATAAAAAATTGATGTTGATGAAAATTGGCTGAAAAGAATTTAAATACTCAGAAACTTTATTACTGATTCAAACTACTATGTAAAGAAACTGCTATGTGAAAAACATGTCCACAAAAAATGGGTATCATCAAATGTAGATAAAGCTTGATGACTAGAATAGCACGAACCCCAGTAACAAATTACTTTACAAACGATAAAACATATCCCACGTGTTAACGAAATAATTGCCATTTAAATTGCGGCATCTTCGATTTGATGTGAAAATATGAAGTTGAATCTGTTATTGGCGTTATATAAATGAAGCTAAGTGGTATGATCATTATAGTTTTTGTTGGAGAAATGTATTTATTGTTATGGTTATTGAGTTATTGAAAATTGACACACGGTTTGTTAAAACTCTCGAAAAATGATTTTCAGTAACAATTTGTCACTACTTATATAATATTGGTATGTATTTTGGAAGACTTTTATCAAAAAAAAAATGTGATTGTTTTAATTGTGATAAATTTCAATACAGACCTATTTGTTGGCCACTACCATTCATATCTAACGAAGCACATATCTGTAGCAGTGGGAAAAACCCATCTTCAACAAAATTTGACACACGTTATCATGATCCACGGCATCATTGAGTTTCGAAAGCCTAGCGAATTGTTATTCATGGATATGCTTCAGTAGGCTGATTTGATTAGTTCTCATTTCATTCTAGGATAAAAAACAAGCTTAACATTGTATCATAGGAAGAACAAAGCTTATTTTTGGTACACTTTTTTAAATCACTTTTTATGGCTAGTAGGTTGTTCAATATAGAATCTTATTTCAAGTTCGTAGAAATGAAACCTTTCAAAGAACGATTATTCATTAAGATTTCATATGTCATGGCAAAAAACATGAAGGGTAGTGTACTCCATTAAAAATTTATAAGTGGAATAATTCACCACATTTTATTACTTTGTAAGAAATAGTTTTATACAGTAAACAGGATCCATCAGAGGTTTTCCACTCCATTTAATAGAAAAAAATCAGATGACTTTTCAAAATTGAAAATATTCAGTTTCAGAAAAATATTTTTATCTATCAACCAAAAATAAGCTTTAGTGATTTTTTCATTCAATAAGGCTAATGGGGTATGTCATGCAATCAAACGTAGGTTTAACTTTCAACCCTAAGGCTGTGGCTGCTAATGCTGATTTTCATATATGGCTTTGTTGAATTTCAATAATTTTATTTGAGAGTTAATGAAACATGCATATTGTGCCTCACTTTGTTTACTATAAATCGAGCATTTCTTGATCTAAATAAAGGTTGTTCATAAATTAGTTCGTTTCTGTGTGAGCGTTTTATTTTGAAACTTATATTACAAGTCTTTTGTAAATGAACAATGTATTAACATGTTTGTACTCTGCATCTTCTGAAGAAACGACAACTAATGAAATATATTTCTAGGAGAGATATATTTTTAGGAGAATAAGGATTTGGTTTTCTTCTTCTTCATCTTCATACAAAAAGCCAAAACCTTTCCTAAAAATTAATCTCTCTTGAAAATATACCTCTTTCAATTTAAACATATTCGGACTAGATGGCTTCTTAAGAGGCCAGCCACTCGTGCTGAACTTCAACAAAGTATTAAACATTTGGTCTGAAGCTTATGGTTCGGGAGCTACAAATTATTTGAGTTGAAAACGAGCAACCCTGAATGACCTTCTATACAATCTGTTACCTAGGTTTTGTAGGTGTTTTTGTGAAGTATACTTCAAAAAAGTCTTATTTTGCCTAGTTGAGTTTGAATTCGATATTATCTTTATTTTGTAATTGTCTCATTCTACAATAATGATTACCTACCAGGTGAAGTTACAATTGGTGTTTCTGTTTTTGTGAATTTTTGAGAAGCAATGGTTTATATGCTCCGAGAACGGATTGAAATGTTGAGTTCGTACTACCAGAATGGAAATAGTGCTAGAGCTGATGTTTGTATGTTCAATGATAATCATCCAGGAAGAAATGTGCGACACAAATACGTTTCGGAATTATTGAACAAATTAATGGAAACTGGATCTGTTAACAATAAAAAGCATAACCGTTCAGGAATTGTCAACGATGAAGCTATTTGTACTGCAGTTTTAGGGCACGTTGGACTAATGGAAAATTCGCAATCACTTACTAAGTCGAGAATCAGGAATCAGTCGTACAAATGTTTTCAGGATCCTTAAGTACAAATTTCATCCATATAAGATTAGACTGGTTCATGGATTGAACGAAGATGATTTCGCTGGACGTATCGAGTTTTGTGAAAGTCTCACTGAACGCATCAACTTGCATCAGAATTTCTTATATAAAATTTGTTTTCGGATGAATGTACATTTAGTTTGAATGGAGAGGTGAATATTTTTCTATAAATTCCTGCAGGTTTAACTTTTTCCTTCATTTTCTGTACGTGATGTGTCTTGATCTATGTTGAAATCGTGTTTATTCCCTAAAATGTGACAGGCATATGGGGAATATGTTTGGAGATTCTCGATTTGAATTTTTTTTGAAGTTCTTCCTATGTAAACGTTTGGGTAAGATCCACGCATGTTAGTTTGTAGACCACTGATTTGTTACATTTGTCCATTTTTATTAAATTTCTAATTGAATTTCACTGTGCTGTCGAGGTATTGATGTGTCATGGTATGGTAAGCTGCTGATACATGTTGATGAGAGTGAGATGAATGGTCATGGATAGTTGTTTCTGTATGGAATGGTTTGTAGTTAATTGCGAAATCATGTTTGTCGGTGATTTTTGTAATTGTGAGGTCTTAAAAGTTTATCAAATTATTATTTTTTAGTTCTATTTTGAATTTTATGTTTTGGTGAACAGAATTGATGTACTGAAAAAATTACTGTAATTGTCGATGTGTTCCTGTGAAGCTGGCTATAACATCGTCAACACACCTATACCAATAAATATTTTTGTATATGTCTTGTCTTCGTATTGTCATTTTGTCTAGACCAAAAATATTTGAATTCACTAACATAATGTAAATTAACAAGGAAGGCCTCGTAATGGGTAATCAATCCTCTAAACACCCTCCTCGCTAAAAATTTCATGTAGAACTTCAGAGAAACGATTCTGTAACATCCGATTTTCCAAAACTTTATTTATTGATGTAGGTATGTTGTCGATGCCTGCCTCACAGCCTGCTTCACAGGAACGCATCGACAATTACATTACAGTAATTTTTTCAATACATCAATTATATACACGAAAACATAAAATTGACAATATAAATAGAAACCAATAATTCGATTGACTTTTTAGACCTCACAATCACAAACATCAACAACCGACACGACTCCGCAATTTACCACAAACCAACCAATATAGATACAACCATCAATAACCATTATAATTATCCTCATTATAAAAAACAGCAGTTTACCATACCATGATCCACAGACTCATCGGAATCCAGATGACCACAGGAAATTTCAATAAGAAATTGAATACGTTGAAAAATATAGTAGTAAACAACAACTTCAAACCGAACACTAAAACCTACAAAACACACATATACAGGAGAGTCATTATATTGAATGAAAAGACTACTTGAATAAAACTGGGCGATACTTCATGAAAATCTATATTAAAAAACTAATCAATACAGTTTATTGTATGATTTTCAATATAAAGGGTTTTACAAAAACCGCAACATGTGTTTCGCTATACAATAGCTTCCTCAAGCATAAACTGAGGAAGCTATTGTATAGCTAAACACGTGTCGCGGTTTTTGTAAAACCTCTGGAATAGAAAGCATACAATTAACTGTATTAATTAGATTTTTTCAAAGACTACTGACAAAAGAGATCGTTAACATAGCATATAAGACTGCTAACTCCTTAGGTAGACATATGAAGAACAACAAGTTGAACATGGATAAAGGTAACAAATCAGGTCTCTACAAAGTACTCATGTGGATCGTGCCCAAAAGTTTATATAGGAAGGACTTCCAAACAAGAATCTTTGAACAAGACAGAAGTTTTGAACCAACTAAAACCAATTCCACATATGCTTGCCACCTTTTAGAAAAAAAACCAGGATTTCAGTATGGAGTATGACAATATTACATACAAAAAGTATAATATAAAATTTAAGCCTGCAGGAATCTCTGGAAATAGATAAACGTCAATATCCAAATTTTCTTTTGAACGAGCAATAAGAAATCATTCATTCACCATTAATTAACTTGATTGATGGTAATTGACAGTGTTTCTTGATGAATTTCATTAGTTCGGCCTTCCATTGTCTGATATTATATGAAATGATTTGAAATCCCTGAAAGAAAAACCAGTGCTTGCACTTTTATATATCAGATGATTATCGGAAAGGATAAGAAGAATTGGATCCAAGTACGTCGGAACCTGTTTCAGATCCGAAAACACTATACGTAGCAGGCTCACGAAAACCAGGGCACCAAACGCGGACTGCGATTCCAAGAATTACAGTTATGAGATACCCTGTGAGTGTGGAAAATCCTATATCGGTAAAACATTGAATGTTCGCATTGCCCAGCACAAGAAATACAAACATCAAGAGGAAACCAGCAAATCAGGAATAGCAGAGCATGTTTGGACCCATTAACATAACATCGAGTGGTCCCAAGCTGAGATCATATACAGGGAGTTATGGTTTAAGAGGAATTTCATGTTATCCAACAATGTATTCAGCTAAGTTAGCTTAGAGATACCCAACATATGGAAACCCATAATCAAGCAAAAAATGGTCAACTCTCGCCAAACGGTCATCTCCCACTAAACTGGTGAAGCGGAAAAAGGAAAGCGGAGATAAGTGAAAGTACTCGAATGACCGATAAATAGTCATCTCTCGGAGGAATTAGTCCAGTCACCAACCGAAGACGATTGTGGATAGTAACAATCGAAACGCCGTGAAGAAACTTAGCTTGGAATCTCTTAATTTACTATTTTTTTAGAAATGTTATTGTATTGTGATGGTTTTTTCAAAATCTGCGTGTTCCACTTTGATTAATCATTCATCTTATTAGGTTTTCTAATTACCCACTTTTATACTCGTATAAAATACACTGTAGAATAATTTGACGTAAAAGTCCAAATAATGAAGCTATCGCGTAACAAAATGCGCATTTAATGAAATTTATCTTCAATTATAAAAAATAAAGAATTTAAACTATCCACTATACCTGGGTTCTGGTATGGGTAGTTAAACATTTTCGTCCTTACCTTTAGGGAAGAAAATTTAATTTTAGAGTAGATCATCGTCCTTTAATTAATTAACATAGTTATTTTCAATCAAAGACCCTGGTAGCCGATTAGCCAGATGGCGTTTGAAACTGGAAGAATATCAATTCAATGTAATTTATAGATCCGGAAAAATACACAAAAACACAGACGCTTTGTCTAGAACTAAAATGAATTATTTCAAAGAATGCGCAAAATATCATTTGAAAACTTTTGCAATTGAAAATGAAAAAGAAAATGAAGAAATTTCAGATACAGAAACTGAAATAGGTCAAGAAACAATATTTGAAGGATTATATAACTTCACAAGACTTTACGAATCAACATCATTGTACTACTGTACTATCAGGTACTATCATCGTCATGGCTCTAGTAGAGCCATGAAGATGATAGTACAGCTATCGAAAGCGCTGGCATATAATACGTAGTAGTTGTTATTAAAGCTTCACATCCTTTTTGTAAACAAATGTTAATATTAAAATACTGAAAATAAATGAAAATTAGTTTCATCAATCAAATATATATGTTATGTGGTTTTAACTATAAACTTTATTGGATATTTGAATTACAATGAGGAGTTTTATAAACAGTGATTCTAAATTCGTCGAACATGGATAGTCGCGAAATTAGTCAAGAATGTGGCGTCCTCTTGTTCTCCCATTTCCTGGGTAACTGCATAGTTATTATTATGCAATCCATATACAAAAGGTGCAATTATTTAAAGTGGTAAAAAACATAGAAATGTTTCATGGCGATTTATTTCGATTTTTTCCTCAATTGGTTTCTCTAGTTGGATACTGGGTCTTCTCCCTGGAGCTGGGAATGATTTTCGAAATGATGCAACAGTGGTGGATCATCATTGCTTGATGCCATTATTCCAATTTGAATATAACGTCTTTTGCTACATTCACAAAACATGTAAAATATTAATTAATCTGACAATAATTACAATTGTGAAAATAGTATACCATGAAACATGTCGGTTTATGAATGGTTCATTTATAATTTTATATGATGAAATTGGCCGATACTTGATGAAGATCCATAACTAAAGTATTCAAAAAACACTTTATTTTGAGATTTTCACTAAACAATTTCACAAAAACGCAACACATGTTTCGCCATACAATGGCTTCTTCAGGAGTGTCTTAACTAACTAATTCTACACATTCAATGCTATATATACCTTATTCTACAATTTGAAGTACCTACATTTAGTACCTGGTTTTTACCTAAGTTTGTAATGGATTGAATTACCTGTGCTTATGCCCCAGTTTCCACATTTGAAAAAATATTTAGTAATGGGAAGTTATTCAATGTTTTTTGAATACGTTAGTTATCAAGTATCGGCCAATTCCATCATATATCTTAAGAAAGCCCCTACGGGTTTTTTGCCATTTGGTATTTGAAACTCATTCTACGATGTGCTTTAATGACACAAAATAAATGGTTTTTCAACCAATGTATAAAAAACGGAGTATACCCCAAATTTATCGCTCTGAAGACCAACAATAGAAGTCGAGCAACCCAAGAAGGAATCAATTATGGAAGAAACGAAACGGGCCCAAAGTTTGGAAAACTATTCTAATCATAAGTTTTTCGACAGATTTCTAAATCTATCCAACACGAAGTTTACATTAAATGAAACGACATTATTAGAGAAAGGCCTCGGTCATAACACAAAACCATATATTAATTCTACATTCATAGAATGTTTAGGTAGGTATAGAAAAGGAACTTGCTCTGGGAGATACTTGTAATTATAATAAACATGTCGCGGCAAATATTTTGAAATCTGAACCGGTTGATCAAATTCAGTCTAATGGAGAAAGTAAAATTGCAAAATCAATCAAGCAAAATGCTAAGGATAATGAAGTGATTTTTACGAGAGCAGATAAAGGTCGAAAGGTTATTGCATTGCATTAAAAGGAGTACGTCAGAAAAACTCTAGATTTCCTTAATTCAGGAAGCTACGAGATTCTTAGGAATGACCCTACAACTATGTACCAGAAAAAGGTTACGGAAACCCTTAAGGCAATAGAATTGGTTTTGAATGGAAATGATAAATGTAAAACATTGATCATATATCCACAACCACCAAAACTGTATTCCCTTATTAAATTATACAAAACTAATTTCCCGATCAGACCAGTGGTGTCGTTTGTGACGGCACCTACCGTGAAAATCTCAGAAATCCTGATGAAAATGATTCAAACCTATACCCATTTCAAGCCGAAAGTCAGTATAAATAATTCTTATCAACTAGTGGATAATATTAAAAACGTAATTCTTCCTGATAACGCAAAATTAATATCGTTCGAGGTCCAAAATTCATTTCCTAGTATTCCGCCAATTGAAACAATTGGACTAGTTGAGTGTCTCTTGGAGAAAACCCACGTAAATCCATTGATAAAACAGGAAATTTTATATTTACTTACTATTTGTATATCTCAAAATTATTTCCAGTTTGACGAAACATTTTATTCATGCAGTGAAGGACTAATAAAGGAGAACTGTTTGAGTACCTTGCTGCCTGAATTTTCATGGATAACCGAGTATGAAATCCATAATAATCAGTTAACTAACAGTTTTTTGTACTGGTACAGATACGTAGATAATATCTTAGTCTGCTTTACTGGTACAGATAGGCAATTAGGCAAGTTCATTGAGTATGCCAATTTCCACCCATCAATAAAATTCACCACTGAGCGGGAGGTAAATAATTCAATATATTACCTTGACTTAACCATAAAGAAAAATAATTATTTTCCACAAACCATCGTATACGGACATCATCATACATAATTCCTCCACACACCCTCACCATCATAAAGTCGCTGCATTCAATAGTATGCTTCGCAGACTTTTGAATATTCCACCGTGTTAAGAATAATTTTCAGAGAGAGCTGAGTGTGATCAAACAAATCGCGGTTAACAACGGGTATAAAGTAGATATTACAGATTCCATTCTTTCCAAAAACTACAAAACAAGCCATGGATCTGGTCTACCCAAATTCAAGATACGATAACGTCAGTTATAGGACATTGTCAAATTTGGGTGAACCAACCAATAATATTGCCCGATTTTTAAAGAAAGAATGCGTAAACGTATCTTACAGAACGAATAATCTAAGTAAATATATTTAAAACAATAACGACAAAAATTCGGTGTCGGATAGATCAGGACTATATGAGTTGACTTGTGGCTCTTGTCCAAAACTGTATAATGGTCAACCAGGGAGAACATTTTCCCAAAGAATTGAAGAGAGTAGAAGTAGTTTTGTAAATAGAAAGACCAATTCCACATTCACAAACCACCTTTTAGCAGAAGGTCAGTTCGATCATGAATACGATGTGTTACATTCAGAAGAGAAGAGTTTGAAACTCAATCTTCTAGAATGTTTAGAAACCAATAGATCCACGAATTCGGGTAATTTACTGAATGACCAATTATAATTGAATAACTTCCCATAACTAAATATTTTTTCAACTGTGGAATAATTTGATTCATTACAAACTTAGGTAAAAATCAGGTACTTGAAATGTAGGTACTTGAATGAGGTACCTATATGCAGCATTGTAGAATTAGTTAGTTAAGAAACGCCCGAAGAAGCCATTGCATGGTGAAACACGTGTTGCGTTTTTGTAAAATTGTTTAGTGAAATTCATCTCACAATAAAGTGTTCATTTGAATGCGTTATTCATAATTTTATCTAATTGATCTGAATATTGATCTAATTTGTGTTGAGAAATATTAATATAGTCTACATTCAATTTGCTCAATTTCAAAAGTTTCAAATGTGGTAAGCTTTCTTTTTCTAGTACATCTTTGCAACATTGTTATGGTATTACAATTAAATGGACTGTATAAGTTACATTTTTGTTCCTTTACAATTATTTTAAAATATACTCTTGTGTTTCTAATGAAAGCATTACATAGCTTGGAGTTTCAAGATTGAATTGTTTTTTATAATTCGTGTTTCAACCTCATGTTTTGAATAATTTATCGAAATTGAACACATTCTAGGAAGATCTGAAAGTGGTCTTACAATTTGAGCTTCACACATTGCGTTACTATCAATTGGGTACGAAATTACATTTTCGCATATATCAAGATTATAATTCAAGCTTTTTCATAAACTTAGATTTTCGAATGCAGCATACAGCAATGAGTCATCATCTTTTGCTATAAATTTCTTATATGTGGGTAAAATATGATGTAGGGGAGAATAGGGTAATGGGAGTCAGCGGGTAATGGGAGTCACCCTCACATCCACGAAACAATAGGAGCGAGTAACGCAAAAATGACATCCCTACCCGCGCTCTGACCCAAGAGTGCTGCCTGGAATAGCCTGCGCCAGTCAGTGCCCACGCTATTGAGATACGTAGGTGATTTGTTTTTGTGCTCCACTGGTATAATTTCACGTCATTGCAAATTAGAAGGTAAGTGCCGAATATCTTGCAGTATGCGATTGAGACTTTTACACGAAATTAGTTAGACATTCGAAATTTTAATGGGAAGTTCAGATTATGTCAGTGTTTTGAAGATTATTTTTATTTTATTTTTTTTCCGCATTAGTGTAATTGTGGGAAATAAGAGTCAGGTGACTCCCATTACCCGCAAGTGGTCACTATTACCCGCAACTTTGCATGTTGAATCACGTCATTTTTATTTCTTTTTAGATGCCGAATGTACGGGTCAGGACAACTGCAAAGGCTTCCTGGTCTTCTGATAGCCTGGAAAAAGCTATAAAGCTTGTTGAAGGAGGTTCTTTTATGAGAAATGCTGCTAAGTTAATGGGAATCCCCTTTTCAAGCCTCCAAAAGAGGATAAAAAAGGTTCTACCTTAGGACCACATCTAGGACGGTTTACTGTTTTTAGTGCTGAGACAGAAGCCAAGATAGCAAACTTGGTGAAGAAAATGGCAAATATTTTTTATGATTGCACTGCTAAACAAATTAGAAAAGTGGCTTTCGAATATGCTGAAAAATTGAATTTGAAGCACAATTTTAATCAGTCTTCAAAAATGGCTGGACGCGATTGGTTGCATGCATTTATGACCAGACATAACATTTCTATTAGGAAAGCTGAGGCGACCAGCATAAACAGAATAACAGCTTTTAATAAAACCGAAATAAGTCTGTTCTTCGAGCTACTTGGCCAGCTGATGGAAAAACATAGATTTGTTCCAAAAAATATTTATAATAGCGACAAAACGGGTATTTCAACAGTTCAAACTCCTGGAAAAATTCTGGCTACCAAAGGACAGAAGAGAGTGGGATCGATAACCAGTTTGGAAAGAGGAAAAAACATCACTTTGATGTGTGCTATGAGCGCTGCTGGCAGTTACATTCCACCGATGTTCATTTTCCACAGAAAAAGGTTGACTCCTCTGCTCGAGGAGGATGGTCCAGCAGAAGCGCTTTACAAATGCTCGGACAACGGTTGGATTAATGAGAATCTCTTTCTTGAATGGTTGGTGCATTTTAAACAGCACGCTAAGCCGTCTGCAGATGAACCCATCCTTTTAATACTAGACAACCATGCTAAATGGTATTTAAAAATGAAAACAAGTCTTGAATCTGCTTGAAACGCTTGTAATTCAATTATGTCTAGATATTTTGATATTGAAGAAAGTCTAGTTGGTAAAGGTAAAATGTGCCTTTGAATTGTTTGGGCAATTTCCTGAAGGGACTAAACTAAATCTTTTGGCAAAAGTAATTGCGTTTCACATATCATTCAGGAAATCTTCTAGAAATGTATTAGTTTTTGAAAGTTGTTCACAAATTTGAATGGCTCTGAACTTTGCGTTTATTGAAGATACTCTGGTAGCGTATGTATCCATGCTTCGCTTCGATTTGTTTTATATCTTCATTAAATGCTTGTTCAATACTGCAATACTGCAATACGACCTGTAATTGTCGTATTGCAGTATTAAATTCTTTAATTAAAGAGGTTGTCACTTAAATTTGGGTTTTAAGTAAATTTTCAATTTGGTGTTCATCTTTATGAATCTTATTAATACATTCATTAAAATATTCGCCGTCACTGGCAGCAAAGTTGCCCATTATAGCTTTTCATACAGAACATATTCCATTTAACAATTCTCTTTTATTTCTCCAATTGTAGTCGTTAGTGTCTATTTGCATTTCTTGATCTTTTAATTCTACTGAATCGGCTCCTTTATTCAGAAGGCTGATATGTGTGCTTATCTCTGAACTGTTCTAAATTGTTCTTTTCAATAAGATGAATAAGATTACTCAATATGTTTTTGTAGTGTATCCGAATTGTTGTTGATAAAAACTGTATATTTTTTGTGTGCACTGTGCCGTGACCTTAGGATAGCAGTTCAGTTGAGTTTGGGAAATAAAATGGAATATACGAAAACCGTGTCTTATTGTTAAATAGTGAAGTACATTACAGTTGGCGACGAGGATAATGGTTAATGTAAAGTGCATTCATAATTGAAGAATTGATATCATTTAGTTCAGGTACCAATAAAGAAAATGGCAGCGCAGTTTGGAATTCAGTCTGAATTCAATCCAGATGTTCACGATTTTGATATATTTATCAGGAAGCTGAAGTCTTTTTTCGTGGCAAATGCAATCGTTAATGAAGAGAGGAAACGTGCAATATTATTGAACGCATTATCCGAAAATGCATTCGTGCTATTAGAAAACCTCGCCTTACCTGCAAAACCGGAAAACATTTCGTTTGATGACATAGTGAAATTATTCGAAACATATTATAAACCCACCCGTGTGGTATTTGCAGAACGTTTTGCATTTTATGCAACCAAAAAGTGGGATTCTGAAACTATCCAAGAGTATGCGGTTCGTCTTCGCGGTCTAGCAACGCATTGTAAATTCGGAACATCATTAGATAATGCACTACGTGACAAATTCATCTGTGGGTTTGAAAAAGGTAAAATTTTGGATATGTTCTTCACCAAAGATGAACATCTGACTTTTCAAGAAGCAATACAAGCGGCTACCGCAACAGATGTTGCAAATCATAGTTATCGATTACCAGCCACAGTGCAAGTGAAAGGAGAAAATATTTACAAACTTGATTATCAAGAAGTGAAAGATCAGAGGACAGGATACAGATCAGGTCCAAGGAACCGCGAACAAAGCAGCAGAGGGCAGACAACCCGTTTCAGAAGGGCAGACACTTCAAACACCAACACCTCATCGGGGTCCTCCTGGCGACAAACAGGTATGTCTTCATGTAAAGTGTGCGGAGGTGGGAACCACGAGACGCAGCGATGTTTTTACCGCGAATACACCTGCACTTTTTGCGGCGCAAAGGGACNATGCGCCTATTGGAAGCAAAAGCCAAGAATTTTTAAGTGAAGTGAAGTGAAGTTCTGTACAGATAACCGAATAAAGCGGTATAGCCAGTAAAGTGACCAGTGCTTATTTATTGTTTCTCATTGAGTATTCTACAAGTGGCGACGAGGATTATTTGGATATCTTTTAATATAAAAAGTAAGTGAAACGATATTTCATCCGAGCCTTTATGCCTAAATAACTAATGCTAAGACATGCAGGCAATGTATTCCGTGTGATCGTTATTGGAAATAAGTGAATCACGAAACAAGATGTCAAAAAGGGAGAAAAACTTCCCATCAATCTAAAGTCTACTCAGAGTTCGGAAGGATAAACTAGTCTAACTTTAGGAGGTATTATCCTGTATATGCATTGTTTGATTATGTTCAAGTTGTAAAAGTGGAATTTTTCCACAGGCCAGCAGAAAATAGTAACTGGGATTCCACATGCATTCGAGATAATCTACTCACTCGGAAATGGGAAATCACAAATTCTAGATGATCCTTTCTCTTCGAGAAAAGTTCCAAAGACAAGGAAGAGAGGGAGGTTGAAGCAATACCTCAGTGGGTGACCTTTCAAGAGAATCGCAGTTGGCTATTTCTCCCAATGGCCTGAAGTATTAACCTTACCCAACCAAGAGGCTGAAACGGTGGCAGAAGACCTGTTGCAGAACGTAATTGCCAGACACAGAGTACCCCAGGAACTATACTCGGATCAGGTCCGCAACTTCGAATCGGATTTATGGGATGAAATGATGACTTTCTTGAGAATAAAGAAGACAACTGCTCTTCACTCACAGTCCGATGGAATGGTCGAGAGACATAATCGCGACATGTTAACTGGTCGAGAACTGAAGCTTCCTATAGATGTATAGTGTGGCAGCTCATTCGATGATTCTCAAGAGATACATATTTCAGAGTATGTGAATGACTTGAAGGAGAGGCTGGTACACAAATTTGACAGATCCAGATTACAGCTTTCCAGCAACAGGTTGGAGATGAGATTTGACAAAAAGTCACTGCCGGTGAGCTTCAAGGATGGCGATGCTGTGTGGCTCTACCAATCACAACGTCGGAAAGATTTGTGTCCTAAGTTGCAGAGACCATGGCAAGGACTTCACTTGGTCACCAAAAAGATAAAAAATCTGTTGTACAAAATCCAATTGTCACTCAGAAGCAAGCATAAATTTGTCCACATAGAGAGGCTGAATGCTTACATGGATCATGATGTCCTCTCTTGATATGTTATTTGCTGCGAACAATCTCAGATATGGCAGAAGTTTTGTAAATTATGCTCTTATGAAAATAATGCCGGCCGCTGGTAGCCATGAAATTGTGACGTTGCCTAGATCGCACCCAGCCTAGCCGACGTTTCGCGATGTTCACACTGGTTCGTTGGAATTCCGACGAATATCGGCTTCGATGTTTTTCTGAGGAATTCCCCACTGGTTTCGGGATAGTTCGTTTGCCGAATATAAACGAAATCCACGAGCATGTCGATATAGTCAAGTGGAAATGACAGTGCGGTATGCGGAGTGATCTAATAAAGCGATAGACATTTGAATAATAGTTAGAATGTTTTGTTGTTTAATAAAGTTGAGATTGTTTATTAATCAGTGTAATCAATATGTCTTATAGCGCATAACAGTTTCAACTCATACAGCGTGACTCACGGTTGGTGTTGGGTTAGACGTTTCTGGAAAAAGCAACGCAGATTTTTTCTGAAAATGTAACATCTTAAATTTCCTTACCTGTTCTATCGGTATAAAATATTTTCAGCATTGCGGCGTTACCACTTCCATCAAAAAGTCCTAGCAACTTTATTTTTTTAAACAGAATACCCCGTATATTAGCACATGTTTGGAATCTCACACAGGATAACTTATGTGAGATTGTTTAAATTACCTCATATTACAATCTTTCAAAACATTTGTATTATATAGAAAGATATTGTAAATCGATACTTCAACTGATACAACATACAACAAAAATTAATTAATGTCTCAGCTTCATGATCCTTAATATTCACGAAATCAGATCAGATATTCACGAGTTTCCCCTTTGAAAATGCTTCAAAAAATCAGTACTCACTCTTGAGTGGAAATATTCACTGCATCGAAGTCATCATCTTAATAATTATTATTTTCTTCGATATTTTGAAGTTATTCTTATATCCACATGATTTCTTATGTGGCTTCTTACGCAGCATCATACTATGATTAATTCCAACATCCGTAAACTTATTCTTGAATTATCTACTACTTGCATCACGCATAACTTTTCTCTAAATCTTCGAAACGACCTTTTGGGAAGGTGGAGGAGGAAAACAGAACAAAATCATCAATCTGTGATAAGGGATTTAGTGATATTGTTGTCAACGATGTAGATGATTCGTAGGTGAAGAAGACTGCTGATTGAATTGCTGTCAGCGAGTTTCCTTCTATAATAATAATAATATTAACGATATTACCAGTGTTGCCCTACGCTCCGAGGGATATTGAATCCGTTTTGGGGAACGAGAAGTGTCGAATTTATTGGAACTATTCGTTCCCCACNGTTTTCCTGCAGCTGAAAAAGCAAATGCGCCACTGGAATCAATGAAGTCCCCCCGGAGCGCCAATTAATTTTTATTGTTGTATTTATTTTATTTTTATCGTTGTTTTAATACATTGTAAAATAATTGAAATAAAAACATTACTATTAAATACATTTCAAAATTTGTTCATGAATAACAAATAAACTTTTCTATCAAAATTATTTTGTTATTCATGAATTAATTATCGCGATGTCTTTAATATCAGCTCAATCGCGTGAACGCGATGTCTTTAATATCAGGCCAAGGTGAGCAACATCAAACAATCTTCGTTGCTTATGTAAAAAGTATTGAAAACATCATACATATTCTTTCACAGTATTTCACAAATATATCCAAATAAATGGCCCAAAATGTTTAAACTCTAACATCGACAAAACGAAATTTTTTTATTGCATCACATTTTAATCAAATAAACATTCCTCAAAACTATCAACATAAAGTTCAGTTTTCAATAGTTTTTCAATAGTTTTCCACCTTTGATACATACAATACTTCTTTCAATGAAACGATGCGAATATTCTTTCTTAGCAAATGTTATTAATGTTTTCCATAGAATCACATATAGTTCACCGTTTACCGTTCTGACAACATTTCAATTCAAATGTTGATGTGGCTCCTTCTATAAACATGAGTGTCATTATATGAGATGATTTCTTCATCATCA